ACCCCGCCCCATTGCAATCCCTACTCGGTACTAATGATCCGCCCCATACTGCATTCTTGTTCCTGTATAAAAACAAGGTCATCAAGAAATAAAACAACGTATTTAAGTGATTTGGCTAAGCGACTAACGACTATGAGATTAAAAGGACTACCAGGCACATAAAGAACTGAATCTAAAGGTAAGGAAGGAAGTGGGCTTGCGTGACCTATTGCAGTTCCCATGGTTTGAGACGCATTGGCCATTGTGATTGTTGGAAGAGATTGAGAATACGAAATAGTAGTCAAGGGATTTGTTACCAGAAATATGATCCGATGCACCTGAATCAATGACCCAAGACTCGGAGGTTGAAAATTGGGAGACACAAGTCACGCTACTACCTGTTTGAACAACGGAAGCTATCTCTGAAGATGTCTGTTTACATGCTTTGTAATGAAGGAACTCAATATGATCTGATAAAGAAATCATTTGGATTGGATTCAATGGATTGGATCCAACGGATTGTGAGTCAAAGGCTTCTGCTATGAATGGCATTATAATTTTCACGTCGGAAAAATCAGAAACTCTTCTGAAATCACTGTTCACGTTGGAAAAATATAAAAGTAGTCGGAATTTGGTGAACTTGGATGGGTAGGGTCGGAATTCCCTTGCGAACAATCTATCCCAAAGAAATTTTTCCAAAAAAGTGACCGGAAAGGGCCACGCGCCGGCGCGTGATTTCGCCGGAAAAATTTCTTCCGGCAGCGCATGGGAGCGCGTGGAGGGTTTTCTAATGGAGATATTTTATGGGTTGGTCGGCGGAGGCCGATCTACTTCGTGGTGGTGTTTGTTTTTGCACAAAACTGTCGAAAAGTGGCTTTTTTTTACTGCAGCAGACCTGTGTTTGCCGGAAAAAGACTTCTGGTTGACTGATTTCTCTTCCCGGAATCGCTGGAATTTATGCACAGCGATAAATCTCTCACGATTTCTCTGATACCATGTGAGAAAGCACGGGAGAAATATTATTATTTAATTAAAGTGTTGTACAACGCCCTATTTATATACGGTGATTACATGATAATAGGTATCTACTTCTCGATGTGGGACACATGACTAACTACTTAACAGTTTCTGTAATATAGAGCATGGGCCGTGGAGCATTTAACCTTTGATCTGTGTGAATACGCAAATTTGGTCATCGTACATGCAGGACCAACAAAATGGAGAAGAAAATTTTGCAGACAGTCTGTCATGGAATTCCTACCCCTTGATTTCCCCTTCTGAGTCTCCACAAGACCCTCTCTTAGGCCCTGCAACAACCCCACTCCCTTTGCCAAAATCCTATGACCCTTTCCCAACCCCTTGTGGCCTCGCCATCAACCTATATTACTCACTGTAGCTAGCCTCTGGCCCGCATAAATTATTGGGTGGCGGGAATAAATGCAAGGTTGGGTTGGATTGAACGATGTCTTAGGGTATTTTTTTTAGACTGTAAGGCAGGGGTTGGAGTGAGGTAACATAGGTGCTCAGATGAGTGGCTAGCAGAGGAAGTGTGAGAATAAAAGGGGTTCCAAAGTTCCATTTATTTGTATCAACTCCATTAGTATATGAATCGAAGCTGCTTGTTTCAAATTAATTAAGGTTTAATGTGCCAATGCTATAACGAAGAGACCAGAACCTGAAATAGCTTGAACAGTAGACAGGAAAAAATTCCAAAAACTCTATCATTGAAGTGTTTGTGCTGGAAAGCATGTTGATAGCTCTGTTTCCTCACATGTGTGTTGGCAGTCGAGGATGGGGATGATGGAGGTTTCGCATGTAAAATAATATTAGCTGTGGAACCGTGTTTCATTTCGAATCTTTTTTTCTTGCTTATATGAATTCGCTTTTGCACATTTCTCTTTTTTCCCGTTGTGTAATTAGTCAATCTGAAGAGATTCTACTCTAAGGGATTCTTTCCCTAACTTTTCCCGTCAATATAACATCAATGTCGTTCATATGTTTGAAAGTTGTCCTAATTGTTGATGACATATTAAATGTTATCTTACTTCAAGCATAATTAGTATATTTTGTTATTTACTTGTAGGAAGAGATTATAAATGAATCACTACTTGAGAAGAAAAGAAGGCGTGAGATGGAAGGCCGTGTCAGTGAGTATCTTTTATAATCTTTTACTTGAAGTATGTATAATACAAACTACAGGTTCAGTATTGTTTATCTTGTGTTCCTTCAACAAAAAACTTTCTCCAACTTTAGGACAGCGTGTGATAAACATGAAATCTTTGGAAAGAGAGGATGACCTGGATAGTATAGCTGCAAAGCTTATTGACCAGATTCAAGCTATGAAGTTAAAGAGATTTCAACTTGCATTAGAACTCAAGGTCAATTGCTCTTTTTAATGTTTCTGTTTTCTGATGCCTCTAAAGTTATGATTAGTTCCTTAGCGGTGAAGTTTAGTACTTCTGCTGTATGTATCTTTGCTGATTTTCTCTTTTCTGTTGTGCCAGAATTTACTTATTGATGCTGTGGCTCACCGAAGAAATTATGCTGAACATAACATGGCATCCCTTGAACTTGGGCTGAAGGTACACTTTCTCTTTTAGGACCTATTTTGTATAAAACCAAAGTAGATAAACTAAGAAAATCGAAGAAATTAAAAACAATAGTTGTGCACTGCCGGAAAAATGAGTGGTCTGTGTCAGGTTATGCTGGTGTGAGTAGAAGGACTATTATATTACTGGGAAATGGAAACCTAGGGTCTGCTTAAATGGAATTCTTGTACTTGATAGTGGGACTTGAAAAGAAGGAATGGAATAAGGAGAAAGGACAGATTAAGAGGCAAGTGTCACTTGATAAATCGCAGTAGTTTTCCTCACTACATTTGTTGAGAGCTTAGCAATAGTTATCTTGGAGCTACACACCCTGACAGAAATGCCAATTTCTAGGTCAACAAGGGGCCTATTCCTGGAGAAAATTTGCAATAAAGACAAGTACTGCATCAAAATTTCTATATTTGCTGCCCTAATGATACCATCTTATATATGTTATGGGTTGGACTTTCGAGATAGGAATGCCGGTCTCTAAGTCGCTACGCTCTCATTACCTGTTGTATATGAGAAATGTCCATTTTGAGAAATAAATCTTGTTACTTATCAACTTGGTTCTCAAGTTGTGCCTAGCGTGAGGGATGCATCTGTCTTGCTAATTCATATGTCGCAACACAAAAATAAGACTAACTACAAATCAATGCTCGGTAATATCCAATTTGGCGTGAAACTTAACATAGCTGCGACTCTTCAAGGCAGAGTATTAATTAACTCTCGATGCCCTAAATTCCTACTTTTGGATCCAAGCAGAAGGCTTCAAATATCTGCACCTCCCATGTTATAGAAAGGGAAAGCTAGTTCCGACGCAAAGGCTGGTATGATAAAGAGCAGGAAAATTAAATTAAAGGATATTTTGGACTTTGTGTTTATTACTCACCAGTAGATGGTTAGGTTTTGCAGCATAAGGGTTATTTGGCAAAATAAATCAAGTCACATGATTGAGGTATCATCTCCAATGTTTTTTTGTCTTGTGGCATTATTATGGCTTTTTAGTTTTTATTTATTTACTGTCCCAAATCCTTCAGGTGCTTCCTCCTAACTCCTTGCTGTTTCTATTATTTCTTGATTAAGCTACTCTTATAATGGTGAATTATTTCATGATAAAGCTGAAACCTCAAATTAAGATGTTGCTTCAAGGTTTTTGGCCTTTTGAACTTTATGACATCCTAGAGAAGTTGTATCTGCTATAATCTGAACACTGACACAATATGTTCTTAATGTTACATTTTATATTCAAGATTAACAAAGGCCCGGTGTCATTATAACAACAACAACAACAACCCAGTATAATCCCACATGTGGAGTCTGGGGAGGGTAGTGTCTACGCAGACTTTACCTCTACCCTGGGGGAGGGCCCGGTGTCATTATGTTAAATAAAAATTCCCTGGCAGTATGTTCACAAATGGTAGAAAGATTTGCTCTTTGGACAACGCAATATAGCCAATACAAAATAGCTTTAAGTATCTTGCACTTCAAATTCTGTCCTTTAATAGCTTATCGTGTTATTGTTACTATTTCAATTGTGCATTTTCACTATGCCATATTGCTGAAAATTAAACAGGGCTATAGTTCTCAAAAAGGAGGCTTTATTGCTACATAAAAAGCAAATGCATGAGTTAATTAAAAAAGAAAGAAAGAGCAGCAGATATGATGCTTTGTGTCGTTGATTAGAAGGTACTATGCTGATGTTAGCGCAAGGTTTATGAATTAATTTTTCATTTTGTTTGCTGCAAATTGTCTGCCAATGCAAATCAAATGTAATCCTGTTGGTCTGTAGTGTTGTGTCTGGTCTTTTTTTTTCTTTCTTTTCAAATAAACAGATTGGTAGCAGGAATATGGGTTTTTTAGCATTATTTGTATTTGAAAGTAGTCTAACAAGCCAAGACTGACTTCATTGGACATAAATTCTCTTCTTCTTTTTCTTCTTAATAACCGAGGATCTATCGGAAATAGTCTCTCTGCCCTTCCAGGGTAGGGGTAAGGCTGCGTACATCCTACCCTCCCCAAACCCCACTTGTGGGAATACACTGAGTTGTTGTTGTTGCTTTTTCTTCTTAATAAATAGATTGATACCTAGAATATGGACTTGTAGTTGAATTTAGTCTAACACGCGAAGAATATGGGCTTCGTGCATTACTGGTAGTTGAAAGTAGTCTAACAAACTGAGACTGACTTCACTAGACCTAAAAAATCTTATTATGATTGTGAATTATGCTTCCTTTTCATCTTTTCAGATAAAAGAGATGGAAGCTAATGTGAAGCACCAAGAAAAATTTGCTATGCAAGCATCTCTGCATTATGAGTACTGTAAGTTCTTCAGTAATTAGTCCAATTCAAAAAGTTCTTCAGTAGTTAGCGATTTCACAATTGACTATCTTACATATTGCACAGTGATATTATAACTTTGAAAGACCATCTCGCCTGGCTGACAAAAAAGAAGAAACTACAGGGGGTCCCAAAAAATTAAGGAAATGAACCATGGGGATATAGTCTGAACCTGCTGTGTAATCCATCATTTGGTAGTTTATTCATGTCTATGAGTGGGAGGAGTAGAGGACATTGTTATTTCCTACTAATTGATATCTGGGTGCAAATGCTTAGGTGAATGATGTGACCGGATCTGTCTTCCTGATTCTTGAGGGCTTTAACACCAATGTTCTTTGATACTGAACCAAGTGTTTCATTAGACACGCTTCGCCAAAATCTTTTTATTATATATGTATATATAAGATCTTTCTAAAAATTGGATGTACATATACAATTGGTAAAACCTCTTAAAAATAATGCAAAGTAAACAGCAAATTGAGATAGGAACTAAAGTCTTACACCCCATAGACTTAGACCTAGACCCAAACCTGTATATACAAGTCGAATTGTGACAATAGGTCGACAACCATTTGTGCAAAACTCTGCCTGCACTACTGCTTATGGCCTTGAGTGAAATTATTACACCATATAGCTTTCCAATTTGTTATTTTTCTTGATTAGGTAAAAAGGAGACAGAGGAATGCCGACGGCAACTGGAAGCTGCCAAGAGGCATGCAGAATCAGTAGCCATTATAACTCCAGAACTAGAGCAGGCTTTTTGTGAGGTTTGTTTCCCAAATAATACAGTTTTTTGTGAATCTTTGGACACCTAACATTTGTGTAGCCTGTTTGCTATTACTGTTCCTTCTTGCATCTTTTTTTGTATGGATAGGAATTGTTGGTGCTTCTATTTAATAACAGTTTGTTATCCCTCTTTTTTATTCATTATGTTATCTGAAAAACAAAAGAATAAAAGAAAAACATAAAATTAGAGGTTTTGAGAACTTTCATGTCCTTTATGTGTTATTACAACCATTATGTGGCATCTGCTTGTTGATATATATAGTTAGGAAGGGAACTCAGTAATTGGATAAATTAAATGGACATAGACAAATAGTTCCCATTAGAATATTGTCTAGCTAGAGAGACAAAATATGAGTTTAATTGACAAAATAGAAATATATAAGACTGCTTCCTGAATTGGGCTTCAATTTGTATTGAAAGAAGAAAGAAGAGATTTAGGCATGATATTCTTGATTATTCTCTCATGAATTCTTGATTACTCGAACACTACGGGTTTAAGTAGTGTTTGCAAGTAATCTTAAAAAGGGAAGGGATAGTAATTTCCATTCCTTAAAGGAAAAGAATTCCTGTTCCTAATTATCCATTACAAATATTCTAAAATTTTCCTATATTTACAAAGAAAAGATTCTTGCCTATTAATAATTTTCTACTTTTTAACACTCCACTCAAGTTGGAGCTTACATATATGCCCCTAAGTTTTTGCAAATATATTCAGTTCTGGATCCTTGAAGTGGTTTTGTAAGAATATTTGTCAATGACTCATTTGAGTTTGCCGAAACTTGTCGTAATACACCCTTACTCAATCTTTTGTCTGATGAAGTGACAATCTACTATATATCCTTTTCATGAAACATTGGGTTTAAAGCAATGTGTATTAATTGTCTCAGATCAATTGCATTGGTGCATTTTGATTTTCCCACACCTTAATTCTTTGCGAAGTTGCTTTAACCATATAAGCTCACATGTCGCAAAACCATTACTCAACATTTTACCTCTGCACTTGATTTTACTACCATGTCTTGCGTTTTTGCTTCCCCCCCCCCCCAATCCGAGAACAGGCTGTCACGTTCCAAACTATCCCATAGACATGTCGCAAAACCATTACTCGACATTTTATCTCTGCACTTGATTTTACTACCATGTCTTGCTTTTTTGCATTTTTTTCCCTAATCCAAGAAGAGGCGATCACATTCCAAACTAATCCATAGACGTGACTGGCACCTGGCTAACACCACCGCCGGACGAACCAATTTTTCGCACTCTTAACCCTTTTATATAAGCACTAAGAGAAGGTCGAAACACATTACTAATCACTAAATACGAAATGATTATCCAACTAAAATCATAATCAACATATAAAATCCAACGATTGGTCAAATAGTTTACCCCAAATTCCCACACCCAGACCCAAACTATGGAGCATCTAATAGAGTTATAGGAGTTAAGTTATCGGGCATGCAAACCCAAAAAGAAATAATAGACATAAGATAGGTAGAGCTGAAACAACGACCTCCACGAATAATGCGGGGGCTCACCTCAGCAACAGTGTCCACTCAACGAACTCGTCAGCCACTAGTCTCGTCCTCAACAACAATACTTGCTTGGACATGCAGGTAAGGAGTGAGTTATATGTAAATATAACCCAGCAAGATCCTCAACCCGCCACTTTAAATACTTCTGGAACAAGTGTTAGAAAATACAAATACATAACGAGCACATAAATAATATGTACATATGTCTTTCACCATATAATTACTCCATAAGGTCCAAACAATTATTCAACAACACTATATATCTCAACAAACTTTATACTAAGGACTTGTGATAAATGGTAGTGAAGGAAATTAACCAAATACCCCGACGAGTCCATGACAACATATACAATGCTTCAAATCTATCACGACAACATACATAGTGCACCAAATATATTACGGCAGCGAAGAAATAATTTCTAATGCCACAACTCCATGACAAGAAGCCACACAACATCCCATATTGTGTATTAAATGATTTTCATATTCTTAACAAAATAATATATGTGCGGTTGGTCAAAGACCACCGATTCTGCCAAACACACGCTTGTCTCAACACATGAACCATGTAGATAAAATATATTTTCAAAATATATTTTGAAAAGCAAGCACCAAAGCTTAACGTCTCACTTACCTCAATTCACTATCCAAGCACTCTTTTCAATAAATTAAAATATGCTCTTGGGTATCTGGATCACCTCAAACTATACAAAAACGGGTTTAGAATGGTAAAAAACCCTTGGGAGAATATTTACATAATTTTTAACACAAGTCAAACTCGTGGTCAAAGATTGACCCAAAAAGTCAACGCTGGTCAATGGGTCAGAATTCCCTGATCAAAATCAAATTTTGATAATGTTTGCCCTTTCAAATTGATGAATTAGATTAAAGAACCGTAGGGCTAAACTTTCTCAATTTCTGAAAATTTCTCCATGTTTCTACCATAAAAATCTTCTCATAATCACGTAATAAACTTATATAAAAGTGAAGGATCATTACCTTGATAATTTGGATTGAGAATCCCTATTTTTCTCCCCTCTCTTCCTCTCTTTTTCGCCCTTTCTTTTCTTTTATGTTCTTTTCTCTTCTCTTATTGTGTTTTTTTTTTTTTGCTTCTGCGCGTTCCGCTTCTTTCACTTCTTTTTAATGTTCTCTTTTTATAGTTATTATTATTATTATTAAATTCTTTTTTTTCTTTTTCTATTATTAAGTTAATAAATAACCCCTAATTAAATTTGGGGTTATTGCACAGGCCTACTTCCTCTTTTGTAGATCTGTCTTCCCCTTTAATTTGTTACTTATAGTGTTAGAAGAGCTTTTGTCTTCTGGTTTTTCTGTGTTTCCAAGTAGTAGGTTGGGATAATTTACTACTGCTTTGGTATGAGCTTTTCGTAGCAGCTTTAATGTGGTGTTTCTTTTCTTTGACTGTCCACCGAATGGGTAGGACTTGTTTCTTTTGTCTTCTAATTGATCGATTCTGTATGCCTGTTATTTCCTTAGATGTTCCGATATTGCATATTTAATGTTTGTGGTTCTCAAGGTTTCCTGTATGTTTAATTCATTTCTTGCCAATTTTCCCAGCAGATGCCATCTACAATTGAGGAATTGGAAGCGGCTATCCAAGACACCATTTCTCAAGCCAATTCCATTCTTTTCCTGAACCATAATGTTCTAGAAGAGTATGAAACACGTCAGAAAAAAGTAAAATTTTTGTTTCATTAATTTGCTTTTCCATTTTTTTCCTTTTTAAATATACCATGATCGCATCTAATTCATTCTTTTGCAGATAGAATCTCTTTCAAAGACTCAAGAGATGGAAGAAGAGAAATTAAGCAACCTCATTGATGAAATCAATGCTTTAAAGGTTAGAGTTTTTTATGGTTCTCTAGCATTTTTGATAGTTACCTGGCGAGTCTAATGTTTATAAGCTGCTTGTTGTATCTGATTAAGCCCTACAATGGTTCACTTAAGCCCTACATGGTTGTCTTTTCTTTCCAATGGTATTCTTATTTCAAGGCCTTAAACGTATCCATCAATACAGCTAAATGAGTGAATTGCCTTGTCTAAAAGGTACTCGCCTCATCTAAAAGCTGAAGCTGTTAGAGCAGGGCACTTGTTTGGTCTGCAACATGTCCCCTCATGTGCGAGCCAATTTTTTGTTTCTTTTTGGGCCATGCACTTGCAATTAATTTGTTGATGGGCGAAGGTTGGACTCGACACTGAGATATCTGCCTGCCTAGCTCTGATATCAGTTGAAGAGCACTTAGTTGAGCATTTCTCCTTCCTATCCGATCCTTGTGTTGCGTCATCTTATGGTTGAGTGTTGACCTAGCTGTTATAATTGAACTGCCTCATCAAAAAGCTTAATTGAGAAAGATTACTTTTATTCATTCCCTTTTTTGAGGTTTGCAATGATACATGTTTGTGTGTTTAAAGTCTTTAAACTAAAATGATTCAAAATGGTATCAGTTTGACGTTTGCTTTTTTGTTCCCTAGTACTAATATATCTAATGACAAGTTATTTAAACAAAAACAGAATAATAAAAATAGGTTATTTTTAGAAGAAAGAAAATCAATAGGTTCTTGGAGAAGAGACCCGTTAAGCAATTGGGAAAAATCAGGGTCAAAGAAATGGAAATATTAGGTAATTTAGGAAAAATTCCTCCTTTATTTTTTTATCTTTCTATTATCTTTGCTGTGGTTGTGCAATTACAAGGTGTTTAACTCTAGTGCAGACATATTGTGGTAGTATACCCAAAAAATGTTCTGATTCTAGGATTTTGCAGGAAAGGTGGCTACCAACATTAAGAAGTCTTGTTTCACAAATCAACCAGACTTTTAGCCGCAATTTCCAAGAAATGGCTGTTGCAGGAGAAGTTTCATTAGGTATATTAACATCAATCCTTACAAAATTTATTTCTTGAGAAGTTCTGTCAACCTTTATTGATCGATGTCTCTCTTCAGATGAGCATGCCATGGACTTTGACAAATATGGGATACTAATTAAAGTCAAATTCAGGTAATTACGGCTCTGATTCTCCCTTAAAGTATGCTTGATTAATTGAGATTTTTTTGCCTCTTGTGGCTTTCCTTAATTGGAGAAGCAACAAATATTTCAAATCATTATTTCTTTTGCATTTCGTGACAATAAGTTCTCAATTTTTGGCGATGGCCGATGAGAAGTACTTGTGTTACTAAGTGCACCGGCGACTTTAGTACTTTTTTATTGTGTTTGTCATTGGGCCTAGAAACTATCTTGTTCTTCATTGGTGAACTATTATGCTTCTTTTGATGCCATATAAAATTAGTTTTCAATATTACACTACTCAAACTAGAGTTGTTACTTTTGATTGTACCTATTTTATTTTGAAAGTCAATTTTTGGGAAGAGAAATCAGCTTTATATATTAGCAAAAGAAAGATTAGATTCCCTAACATCTCCACATTCACATAAGTTTTCATGACACTAACAAATATACAAGAAGTAGGAAAGAGTCTTGTGCTTCCGGATAAGGTCATTGATCATAAAATCTCTTTCCTGGTTACCCGAACAATTTCCAGGCTCTTCTAAAGGCATTCAAAACTATTCTCCGTATCTCAAAGGAGATAATGTCAAAATAGCCCGTTCTTTAACACCTATCTCTGGAATAGGTTCTGTCGTTTGTACTCCTAATATTAAACTATCATTCGTGCTCCATGTCCGTGAGTTCTCTGTCAATCTATTAGCTATTAGTGCCATCACCAAAGCTCTAACCTGTAAAATCGAGTTCTTTCCCGATTATTGTATTTTTTAGGATCTTCAAATAGGGAAAAAGATTGGCAGTGGTAGATTGCATGATGACTTGTATATATTAGATGAGATTCAAACTCTGGTCAAGCCTTTTTTGGGAAAAGTAACGATGTCAACCAAGAAGACAAGAAGTTGGTTGGCTGCAAATGAATTTTCACTGTGAAGCACAAAGCTGAAGGCTCGATTGAAAGATTCAAAGCAAGATTGGTGGCTGAGGATTCACTTAGACTTGTGAAGTGGATTATCAAGAGACATTTGCTCCTATTGGGAAGATGAACACTATTAGAATTCTTTTGTCTTGTGCAACTCATTTGGATTGGGACTTGCAACAATTTGATGTGAAAACTGCATTTCTTCATGGAGACTTAGAAGAACAGGTGTATATGGAGATTCCTCGTGGATTTGATACTGCAAAAAATCAAGGAAAGATATGCAGATTGAAGAAAACCTTGTACGGACTGAAGCAATCCCTAGAGCTTGGTTTGACAGATTATGCAAAGCAATGTTGATCACACCCTCTTCATAAGACATCATACGGGTAAACTCACTCTTCTCATAGTTTATGTTGATGACATAGTAATGACATGAGATGACAAAGAGGAGATGACCCGATTGAAAAAGTTGTTGGCACATGAATATGAGATCAAGGATCTAGGAAAAGTGCAGTACTTCTTGGGACTTGAGGTTGCTAGATTAAAAAGAGGAATACATTTAATAATGATAGAACAAAGTGTTTTGAGTGAGAGAAAGAGTTGGTTAGGGCAGAATTGCAAGGAAAAAATCGAGGAAGCTGTGGAAAACTATCCCTGCCGTGTCCTTAAGAGTGAAAGGCAATGTATGTGTTTTTGTGGAATAGAGGAACAACTAGGGTTTCGAACTTCCCAACTCTAACACTGATACAGATGATGGACTTCCCAACCCTATTCTTCTTCCTAAGACTCAACCACCCCCACCAAGATATGCTTCCAGCGTCCAAACCCCAGTAAAGACCGGCTGGCATCTGACATCTCACACGCCCTCACGCGCCGGCGAGATCTAGCCACGCGCCAACGCGTGTGCCATCTTCCGGTGACTTTCAATTTTTTTTCTTCTGACAGTCTCTTCTCGAGGCTTTTCCGAGCCTTCTCGTCTTAGTTTCACCAAAATCGGATGACTTTTTCTTTTTTCGGCCATTAAAACCTAGAATACGGCGTCTGTTTCCGTTGTTCAGTACCAGAAAAGTTCTTCCCTTCCTATATTCTGTTTTCCACCCACTGTGACTATTGATTTTTCTAACCTTTGGGTTTTTCTGGTCGTTTCTCACCTCTTTTTTTGGGACAGTCACATCTAGAATATGATGGATTCTACAGAGAGAAACTCCTACTTCTCTCTAGAATCTAGAAAATTGGAAAATATGTCATTCATCAAAGCTGCCTCTTGGCCAGCCCTAGAACTTGGGGGAAGATGCCATCGAAAGCTTAACGTAGGGTAAGAGCCGCACTTCTCGCTATCTGAGGAGCACACTCTCATGCGCAAAGGCTTCTTGAGATCTTGTCTGATTGAGTCTTTCTCCAAATGGGTTGGATCTCCAGAGGCTGTTAGGTACTGGGTAGCAGGGGCATGGAACGTCAAGGACGAGTTGAAAATATCGCAATTGGGGGACACACAATATCTCTTCCGTTTTGTCGACGAGTCTCAAGCTTCAGAAATTCTTGTAAGAGGAAATAGGTGGTTCGATGAGAACTTAAAGCTAGACAGATGGGTGGAGCACGATGGGTGTCTAGACCCTCGTTACACCGGCGAATCATTGGTGGTCAACATGGTGGGTCTCTCGGTGCCTCTTTGGTGTCTTGACTTATTCAAGAAGATTGAGGAAATCTGTGGGGTTTTTATTGATGTCGCTTGCAGCTTACATGATCTCTCGCGAGTGAGGATTGTGGTGAGGAAAGGGGAAAAATCCCCTGTCTCCACTGTGGTGGAAGATAGCTACGTGAGTTATAGGGTTTGGTTGAGTCCTGAATTTCGCCCTATCTTTATGCCTGAGATAGTGGCGGAAGAAAAGGGAAGGTCAAATAGAAGGGAGGGGAGGGGAGGGGAAACCAGTCTCTGAGGGGAGCGCTCACCGGATCAGTGGACTAAGCCGGAGTCAGACGTTAGATCGAGAAGTGACGGGAGGTTTGATTTTGGGAGAAGAAGACAATTTCAACAGGAGGAAAAGACATGAATGGGTTAGTGATGCGGGTTGGAAAGGCAGAATGTGCCAGTCCTCCTCTAATTATCCTAGGGCCAGGCAATATTTTAGCAAGTATAGGCCTGAGTCCCCTCACATGGGCCCAACAACTTTTCCCAATTCTATTAGAATTGATCCTAAGGGGCCCAAATTATTTCAAGCTGCATCTGATAAGGCTCCTAAGCATATGGGAACCGTCGTTCTTCCTTCTTCTGCCAATGGTGCTACACACAGTGGTATTTCTTCATCGAGCTCTAGTGACCTGCGCCCCTCTTCGATGGCCGCTGCTTTAGGGATAGCACCGGCTATAGATGGTGCTGTTATTCCACGGCCTCCCGCCTCTGATGGGCCCAGCTCCATCGCTCCCTCAGGTGGTCCTGGGCTTAGTTGTATTGAGGCTACACTTCAAGCTTCTTCTTCTTTTGGGAAGATTGTTGAATGCCCCAACTGATGTTAGTGCCAGACCAGTATTCTCAGTTAAGATGCCGCCAAGGGTTCCATGCTCTCCTCCTTCAGGATACCCTACTGGTGTTTCTGGTCATTCCTATAACAACGGGGTGCTAATTTCAAAGGTTGATACCCCTCAAGGAAATGGTGAGATCCTTTTGGCACCTAAAATTCCTATTGCTAGCAGTGTTATGATCTTGTATTCCTCCAGTAGGAGCAAAGAAATGGTTCATATAGAAGACGCATGTCCAATTTCGTCACGGATTGGATGAGGGGATATGTTTTTTTGGATGGAGGATAAACTATTAAACTTTGGGAAGTTTCTAGGCGTTTCTTTTGAAGGGAAGGAAGATAGAGTGTTAGAACTGTTGAGGGAGATTGAACAACAATCTTTTAATGATGGTGCAGGGAGGGAGTTGGGTCAAGGTGTTAAGCAAAATAATTTAGGGGATGTAGTGGTGTACCAGAGAAGGGGCCGGGTGTGTGACAGGGAGGAAGGGAGCTCGATTAGAGGGGGTGGGGAGAAGGGTGATATTGTTTCTTATGGAAGTTAAGATTCTTTCATGGAATGTGGGGGATGAATGACCCAAACAAAAGGGCCATCATCAGAGTGGGAGTTAGGGAGTGGGGTGCTAACCTAGTTTGCTTTCAGTTTGTCGAATGTGATTGTGAGGAGTGTCTGGGGAGGTAGTTGGGTAAAATATGATTGGGTTCCAGCAGCGAGAAGTGCCGGGGGCATTCTTCTAATGTGGAATGATAGAAGCTTGGAGGTAAAAGAGATTAAGAAGGGAATTTTTTCTTTAGCAGCTCCTGTCAAAAATAGAGTGAGTGGGGTGGAGTGGGGATTTGAGGGGTGTACGGACCGGTAAGAGAAGGGTCCAAGGTATTTTTCTGGGAGGAACTGGCCAATATGATGGGGGAATGGGACATTCCATGGGTTTTAGGGGGAGACTTTTAACACTATTAGATTCCCGGAGGAGAGATTAGGGTGTAATATGATTTCGAGGGCCATTGAGGAGTTTTCTAACTTCGTCAATGATCACTTTCTCATTGATCTTCCTCTGTCAGGGGAAAGGTTTACTTGGACCAGGGCGGAGGATTCCAACTCAAGGTCTAGACTTAATAGATTTCTGATATCGCCCTCCTAGGATGAGCTGGTGCCGAATGCGCTGTAGATTCCTTTACCTAGGCTGTCTTCGGATCATTTGCCTATCTTGCTAGTTGGATGCAGAGGGAGGGGTGCGTGCTCCCTCCGATTCGAGAACATATGGTTGAAGGTGGCAGGATTTGGTGACAAGGTGAAAGAATGGTGGACAAGCTATGGGGTATCAGGGACACCTTTATTCCGTCTTTCAAAGAAACTTAAATTGCTTAAGGGAGATAGTATTAGGTGGAATAAGAAGGTTTTTGGGAGGGTAGAGGTTAAAATAAGGGAGCTTATGCATGAATTGGGGGAACTAGAGAGAGGGGAAGGGGCGAGGGAGTTAGATGAATCTAAGAAAGAGAGATTGGGGGATGTTAAGAGGGAAATAGTCAAGTTAGCAATAGCTCAGGAGACTAGTTGGCGGCAAAAA